GATTGAGTACCACATGAATACATATTAATATGAGCGGATTGGGTACCACGTCAGTACATACTAATGAGTGAAATGGATACCATGCCAATACATACTAACAAGTGGAACAGGAACTATAGAGGCACACTAATAGTTTGCATGTGGATTCCTTGAGAGAGCTAGATTTGTCTTGTTGAAGTGTGACTGTTTATGTTTATTATGCATAACATACAGGGTAAGAACCAAGAGTCAAAGTTATGCTGTATTTGTGCTATAATTGTACATTATCTTTTTCCTTTTTACTAACTTGTAGCTACATGATTTATATTTCTTATTCTGAAACTAGCTGATGATCCTATTATTACATTGTGGTTACGTATTGATATTGCATTTTTCTTTTTCTTTTAAGTATATGCATATTTAGGCAGCTGCTTGGAAACCTCAATTGTGAAACACATGATATCTAAATCCAATGCGAGCTACTTCTTTCGAATTGCATGAATTCCTCCTATCATCTTAGTTCATCTCTTCAGACTTGGGCTTTTTGAATTTATGTTTTCTTGAGTTTTGCGGTTGCATCCCCTTATTTTAGACAATTAGAGTTTGGGTACTATGACTTTTGAGTTCTAGGTTAAATTATTTCCACATTGTTTGACAATTATGGTTGTTTATTTCAACTTGTTTTTTCCTTATTGAAAGAGTATTTTAAAATTTCGAACTACTAACTTACACATATATCAAATATAAAAATTATGTTTGTATGTTATAGCTATAGTTTGCATAATTAAGTTGCATAGCAAACTTCACTATTTCGCAATACATATATATACAAAATAAGTTGTGGCTATTTCGCTACACATATATACAAAAGAAGCAATTGTATAATTTTTTTGGGCATACATATATAAAAGAACCAATTGTATAATTTGTATTTGTATAAAGCAAGAAAGAGAGAAAGACAAAAGAAAAATGGACAGGAAAGATCGTATTTGTATAATCACAAGTGTATAGGACGAACAATATATGTATTTGTATTTGTATAGACATTTTTCTCTCACTTTATACAAACACAAATGCAGTATACATCTGTGTTTATATAAAGTGAGAGAGACAAGTTAGATTGTCGAGCGAGATCTGGGAGAGGGGAACGAAAATATATGTATATATACAATTTTCTCTCGCTTTATACAAACACAAACACATTTTATATATTAGTGTTTTTATAAAAAGCGAGAGAGGCGAGTTAGACTGCCAGCGAGAGCAAAATTCCACCAGAGAGAAGTGAAATAGCAACAGTTTGTTATGGGGTACAATTAAATCAACCTATGTTTATAACCTTTAATTTGAATTAAAGTTTGTTATTATATATAATTTTCCATATTTTTTTTATTGATTGTTAGACTGTGTGTGAATAGTTAGTTAATTCTCTCATAAAAAACTAATGTGGGTGCTATTTACGATGAGTCAAAATCGTAATATAATCAAATAAGTAGATGAATCTTACATAAAAAGTGTAGCACTTTGTTTGGATCATTGTTACTCATTATTTCATAATGTATTGTATTGTATTGTACTCTATTGTACTGTATTATATGGTAGATACAGTGTTTGGGTAGACTGTATTGTTTCTTGTTGTTTAGTAACACTTTAATTGTTTGGTTTAATCGTATCGTATTGTATTGTAATTTATAAATTTACTAAAATATCCTTAATTATTCTAGGGTATGAGATTTGATTAGATTTAAATAATTAAGGTAAAGGGTAAAAATAGTATTTTGAAATATTATGTAAAGATATAATTGGAAAAAGAAATTAAATAACAATGGGAACACACCAAATTGGTTGTTCTATAAAATAGAGGTTTTTGTGTTACGTAACAACGAAATTTATAATACAGTATAATATACTTAAGTAACAATCAAAACGAATATTGTACGTAAAGTAATGTTACAAAATAATATAATGAATAACAATGATCCATACTATATGAGTTTCAAATTGTTTAATCACGTGAACAAGAAAGTTTTAGCAAAACCATGGAAAATGTAAACAATAATTTATTTAAAAAATGTTAGAAGAAATCTGTGCATTATTGCACATTAATATTTTATCTGTGTTTTTTAGGAGGACGACAAATAAATACAACAAAGTTCAAAAATCACACAAAAAGAAAATCATGTCTAAAAAGAAAACTTGGCACCTACCAATAGAGAGTGACTCAACTTAAGCTGAAATATCAATCAATGTAACACAAAATCCAGGAATGATAAGATTTAGAAAATTGGCTCTTCCAAAAATACTTCTTTGACGTGAAATGATCTCCTATGATCAATTCAATTGTACTTTAATTTAAAAAATTATACAAAATCTTATATATTTTATAAAAATAAAAATCATTTTCACCCATCAAAGTCCCTCTTTATCTCGTATTCCCGCGTCCAATTTGTGTGCATGTATTTCTAAGATTTGACAAGTTAAGGTGTCAAATAATTTTTTATTTAGTTATAATTTTTTTTTTAAAAAAATTGAATATATATCATCTATATTTATTTATGCTATACTTTTTAATATGTAAGTTCTTACAGTATGTGAAGAATTTATATCAAAATTAAGAGTAATAGAGTCACTAACTAGCTAAAAGAACATTTGAAATGTCATAAAATAATCAATAAATGTAGCACCAACTACTAATTAATATATGAGAAAAGAGTCTGATATACCCCTCAACTTTGTCATTTAGAGTTGATATATCCCTCGTTATAAAAGTGATTCATATATACCCCTACTTGTATATCCCTCGTTATAAAAGTGATTCATATATACCCCTACTTGTAAACAAATGGCTCGCATATACCCTTTTCCTCTAACGGAAATGGAAAAACAAATTTAATCTAAATTTTTATTATTTTTTTCTAAAAAATATAATCCCATATGAGTAAATTTAATCCTCGTCAAACATAATTTTTTTTTATTTTTTTTGTTTCAATGACTAATTTATAATTATTATTTTGATAATCAAATTTATTTATGTTTCACTAATATTCTTATAATACTTATTGTAGATGATCAAATTTTTTCTTCGAATACGAAATTAAATTACAATACATACAAAAAAAAATAGTTTAATTTTTTTTTCTTTAAACTAAGGAATGAAAGAAAAAAACAAAATAAGAATAAGAAACTCAAATAATTATAATAAAAGAAGTCAAAAAATAATTTATGTATGAAAAAGATTAAATTATACATTGAATTTTGATAGAAGAATCATATATATCCCTAAATAATTTTTTTTAAAAAAATTAGAAGTAACAAATATAAATTTAAAACTAATTTTTTAACTTCCATTAAATGAAGGGTATATGTGAGCTATTTTGTAACGACAGGGGTATATGTGAGCCGTTTGTATAACGGTAAGAGCATATATTAGCCACTTTTATAACGAGGGGTATATCAGCTTCAAATGACAAAGTTGAGAGGTATATCAGACCCTTTTCCCTAAATATATTGATACACTGCAACAAAAACAACTTTAGCGGCATTAAACATTGACACTAATAAAGAGTGTTAAAGTCTTTACGGGGCATTAGTTAAGTGTCATTAGACACAATATTGTTAAAGACTTTAGGGACATATACAAAGAGTAACAATTGCCGCTAAAAACATATTTAGCGACAATTAAGAATTAAATGCCGCTAATGATCATTTTTATTGTAGTGATACTTCATTCGCGAATGTACCATTATAGGAACAGGTTCAATTATTTTCATAACTTTTAATTGCGAATTATAAATTTATGTGAAAAAGATAATAGATATAAATTCATAATTTACGGTGTGTTCAATATATACTTAAAACAATATATAGTTAAAAAAATCTTAAAATATAGTATCTAAGATCTGAGTTGAGGAATCATTGACCTAACAATTCATCCTACGTACCTAGCAACAGACAATTATTCTGGTGAAGGGCACAAAATCAAAGAAAATCTAAAATCTTTCATACAACAAGGCCAAAATATATTTATTAATTTAAACCTTGATGTAATTGTGTGTCTGCCATATGCCAATGCACCACTTCCCAAAAGAAAAATAATTTTGGAATCTTATGTTGGGATCTACGTTTATGTTTTATATCAATTATTACACACCACGTCTTAACCTCTTTTTTTTTTAAAAAAAAATGTAATGTGAGTGTTAAATATGCCCTACTTTGCCTAATTATTGTTGATTTTGTAGTTAAGAGAGCTGAAGAATTGAATTGATTGGAAAATTATGGAAACAAAATGAGACAAAAAAGAAGCAAAGTATGAAAAACCTAAGAACTTGCATTAATGGTATGATACAATATTTTTGGTCTTAATACAATTTTTGTTGTTGTTGTTACTTAGATTTTTGTATCGTATCGTATAAGTCAATCGCTAGGTAAGAATAAAAAATTTCATTTTGCTCTTAATCCAATTCGATCCTATTAAAACCAAACCTTGACATATACATCAATCCTCACAAACATTTAAAATATACTATTTTAATTAAATAAAAGTATTTAATTTAGATTTTAAAACCCCCCTAAATTTGTAGAACATAAATACAATTTGGTAGAAGTACATGTGTTTATATAGTTATTCTACCAAACAAAAATTTACCAAAACTTTCTCCATCACACAACCAAACTTGGTCCATCAAAGTGACTTTAGAACAAAGGTACTATGTTCTCTCATCTTCTCTAGTTAATAAAAACATGTTAAATTTCTATTTCTTGCATTAACCATATTATAGCCTTATGTTCACTTAATTAAACTATACTAATTAGAAAACATCACATAATATAATCAAGCTAAGGTACTATACTAAGAAAAAACAAATTTAAGGCGGCTAATAAACAATCCCCAAAACACTATTGAGTATTTATTTAATTAAAAGCTCAACCACTTTTGTAGTAATAATTCAAAAAGATTCTTTAGCCAACTTGCAACTCTCCTCAATTTAACCTTATATATAACCTTGTCTAAAGTTCAATATATGTAAACCAATAAATATATTGTATTTTTGATTATATATAGAAAAAAATATGGGTTATTTACAAGTTTTTATTACATCATTTTTGTCAATTTCTTGTGTTAGTATTTTCATGCCAAACTTGGTAGATGCTCAACTCAAAACCAATTTTTATGCCCAAACTTGTCCTAATGTTGAATCCATTGTGCGTAATGTTGTTAACCAGAAATTCAAACAAACGTTTGTCACAATTCCGGCTGTTCTTCGTCTTTTCTTCCATGATTGCTTTGTTGAGGTACATATATTGCATTATATTTCGCGTTATAAGGTCTCACATTTATAGAGGGAACGGAGGCAAATGGATCTTGTGCTATTCCTTTATCACATTGATTTAACTTTTTAAGGTTGAAATTAAGTCTAAAATTCAGTTTATTGTAATAAAGAATCATAACCTTGACACATATAACTGATTTTACATATTTTCTTCTTCTTTATATTTAAATTTGCTGTACTTGAGTCGAGGGTCTTTAGGGAAAAGTTTTTCTACTTTCATAAGATAATTATAATGTTTGTGTGCATTCTGCTCTCTCAGACCTCACTTGTGATATTTCACTGTATATGTTATTGTTAACGTTGCATATCATTGATTCCTTATCACTAATGTCAGGTAGTGACAGAGACAAAATTTAATTTTGCCAAGGGCTATTACAATATAAAAGGAAAAAATAGACATGTGTAAACAATAAAAGGAGTCAACATATAATATATAAATATATATAAAAAAAAAAATTTGACCTAGCTAAACAGTGTAATTTTCTAGCTAAAGATGTCATTTGACACCTCTCGACATAAGGTGGGAAACCTCGTGTTATATCGTTCAAAGCCCCATTTTTTATTGATTCTCGTGTTATATTTTACACGCTTTCATATTCAGTTAATGGTGTCTGGCCTTGTAAAAATGTCAAGCTTGTATGATTTTAGACAATCTTTATCGACTCATATATCCTCTCTTTTTTTTAATGTTAATGTAGGGTTGTGATGCATCGGTGATAATAGCATCAACGGCAGGGAACACAGCAGAAAAAGATCACCCAGATAATCTTTCATTGGCTGGAGATGGATTTGACACAGTTATCAAAGCAAAAGCCGCAGTTGATGCGATCCCAAGTTGTAAAAATAAAGTTTCTTGTGCTGATATTCTTGCCTTAGCCACTCGAGATGTTATTCAACTAGTATGTACCATACTTTTTGCATCTTCTTTTCTTTAAATTGGATGATTGATATTTGTATTCAGCCTCGGATACTACATATACGTATAACGTTATTACGTAGGACACATGCATATGTCTACTTATTTATCTTTATATAAATTCAAACATCTCTTTATATATGCAGTCCGGTGGACCGGGGTATGCAGTGGAATTGGGGAGATTAGATGGTTTGACATCAAAATCTACAAATGTAGGGGGAAAGTTGCCTAAACCTACTTTCAATTTGGATCAACTCAATACAATGTTTGCCTCTCATGGTTTAAATCAGGCTGATATGATTGCCTTATCTGGTAATTTTCTTATACTTTATTTATTTCATTTTATATGATATCGTTTGGTTTTTTGAGATTAAAAAATATTTTTTATACCGATATCAAAATAGTCATAATATTCTTAAAAAAATATCCAATCATTATGTAATCCAGCTGTTAAAGCCCTCAATCCTCTATGACAGGCATATTTTTGGCATTTTATAAAAAGAGGAGCTAATATAGTCAATGGTGCCAATTAGCATATTGGACTGACTTGTCCCACACGTAGCCGTCTCTTTCTCATATAAAACACATGCAAGATGAATTAATAAATACATGTACGTTATATATTAACGTGTGAATTTCTAAAAAAAATTGATCGAAGGCTTAGTGGTAAGGACTAAGGAAGGAGTTAGAGGAAATGCTTTCCACTTTTTAAAGGGACGTAAAATCTTAGAACTTTCATATTCTTAGTTTTGGCTTCGCCTCTGCTAGACAGTATATTTTTTTTAAAAAATTTACTGAATATGTGCATATATTTTATTTAGAACCTAGTTATTAGTATAAGAAGTCAAATGCAAAATCCATGAGATTGAAATTCTAACATGGTTGGAAGAAGTATGTATGTATCAAACTTGGTTATAATTGATTTTATCATGCAGCGGCCCATACTGTTGGATTTTCTCACTGCGACCAATTCTCGAACCGAATTTTCAACTTTAACCCTAAAAACCCAGTGGATCCAAGTCTCAACAAGACGTATGCAGCCCAATTAGAACAAATGTGTCCGAAAAATGTGGACCCAAGAATAGCCATCAACATGGACCCAATAACACCTAGGGCTTTTGACAATGTGTATTTCCAAAACTTGCAAAACGGAATGGGCCTATTCACATCAGATCAAGTTTTGTTCACAGACCAAAGGTCTAAAGGTACTGTTAATTTGTGGGCCAGTAATTCTAAAGTTTTTGAAACCGCATTTGTTAATGCGATGACTAAATTGGGCCGAGTTGGTGTGAAGACGGGTAAGAATGGAAATATTCGTATAGACTGTGGAGCATTTAATTAAGGGCAACTTTCACGTATAGCAAATAAAAAATTCATATTTGTATGTTATAACAAAGTTTGCATAATTGCGCTCCATAGCAAACATAAAACTGTATAATTCGCTATACATATACAATTGTATAATTCGCTGGCCTAAATTGTATAATTTGATGGCCTATTTCGCTGCAATTGTATAATTCGCTATCTTCATTCACTGCGATTGTGTAATGCACAATCGTATAAATCGCTGCTTATTTCGCTGCAATATTTTTATAAATTTGCTTTGCATACCGTTGAATCGAATTAAAATGTATGTATATTGCATAATTATAAGTGTATGGCAAGAATATATATGTTTTTGTCTCGCTTTATACAAAAACAAAAACACAATATATACACTTCTGTTGTATAAAGTTAGAGAAAATTGTATTTCACTGCAATTATATAATTCACAATTGTATAATTCGTTGGCCTTTTTCTCTGCAATATTTGAAGTAAAATGTTTGTAATTTGTATAATTAAGTGTATAACACGAAGATATATATTTTTACATGTGTATATACAATTTTCTCTCGCTTTATACAAAATAGAAACAGAATTTATACACTTCTGTGTATATAGCGAGATAGGCGAGCGAGAATGGAGAGTGGCGAGCGAGATTTTTGGGAGGGAGACGCCTGACAAACTTTAGCTAACGTTTGCTATGGAGCACAATTAAATCAAACTCTAGCTACTCCATTTAGTTAGATTACTAGTTTGCTATTATATACAATTTTCCCAAGAGCTTGTATAAAATGGAGAGAAGGAAAAAGATTTAGAATTATCGCTTGTGAATGACAAGAAAAGATTGCAAAATAAGAATTTAGTTGTTTTGCTTTAATAAGTTCCTTAATCATTTCATTAGGGGTGTAATAATAGAATAAGAAAAGGGGCTTGAAATTCAGCTATAAACAACCAGGGCATAGGTAACGTGTATACTTGATGTTATAGGTGAAATTTCAGCTTCTCAATTTCGATTAATTAACATTATATATATATATATATATTCCCACAGTATCACATTTGATAGGAAAGACACGAAGTATCACATTATTCATTTCATAGATTCTGAAATTGATAAAAGATAATTCCTGCCTTAACTGCTTCCACATAAAGCTTCCGTCAATCAAATATGAAGTCATACAAATGGAAATGACAATAACTTGTGATATTGCTCCCTATGTAGAAACCTAAGCTTTGTTAAACTATGAAAATTAAACTTTCTTATTTCTCAAAAAAATTAGTGATTTATTTTTAAATTTAAAAACTATGTGTTCAGATTATTCAAATTCTGAAAAAAATACTGAAACTTGTCAAGAAAACATCTAAAATAAACTTTGTTCCACGTACATTTATATATCAACTAGTGAAATTATTCGCGCTTCTCGCGATTATATAAAATATTTATAAGATAATAATATGAAATATGTAATTTAGGTTAGTATCGAATATATAGAATATTAATATTTATCTTCATCTGCGATATCATAAACTTTTTTTAAACATATAAATATATTTATTTATTATGTATATGTATATATTAGAACAAAATATTCACCGTGATGAAGTAAATGGAATAAGAGATAATATGTTAAAATAATAATATATTGCATTAGGTTGAAAATATTTTATATGTTTTACTTTTCTCTATCTTTTTTGTAAGAGAACTAATGTTCTATTTAAACTCTGATTTCTTCAAAATTTTTTTAATTTTTTTAAATTTTATTATTACATTTACTTATTATAATTTTTTAAACATTAATTAAATATGTATAAGGCTTACGAAAAATTAAACATATAAGTTATGAATAATATTTAATATCAAACGTTACAAGTAAGATGAAGAGACATGAGTTATAAATTATTCACATGTATAATTCTATAAGGGGAAAATGCACAACTACCCCCTCAACCTATGCCCGCAATTCCAGAGACACACTTATACTATACTAAGGTCCTATTACCCTCTGAACTTATTTTATAAGTAATTTCTACCCCTTTTGGGCATACGTGACATTTGTTTGAAAAAAAAATTCAACCAGCGTTGGACCCACAAGATAGTGGCACTAGGCCGAAAAGGGGTAGAAAGTTTTTAATAAAATAAGTTCAGGGGGTAATATGACCTTAGTATAGTATAAGTGTGTCTCTGAGATTTCGGGCATAGGTTGAGGGGATACTTATGCACTATCCCTTATATTAGACATTAAATGTATTACTAATAATTATGTATTGATTTTATTTGTAAATAAATAAATAAAATAAGGGGTGAAAATAAAAAAAATGAACAGATAAAATATAATAATGGGTGACTACATAAAAATTATAAATATATTTCAAAGAAAAAAGAACGGTAACAAATTTTTACATACGCAAAAAATGACATCATATAAATAATATTTTATTTTTCAGTTACTTTTTATAATTATAATAAAAATGAAGCTACTCATCATAAATTTTGTTGTTGTTGTTAAAATGAAATAATTATTGTCACGACCCAAAACGAGCCGCGAGTGGCACCCACACTTATCCTCCTAGGTGAGCGAACCAACAAATCTAAACCCCAACATTTACCAGTATATCAATTATGAGTAGTAAAAATACTGCGGAAGATCCAAAACTTGTTAACGTAATCAATTAAATAAACTTCTAAAGTTTAATATTTATTAATCCCAAAATCTGGAAGTCATCACATCAAGAACATCTATCCTCAAATATCTAAATCTAAGAGTATTTAAGAAGCTAAAATAAGTAAAAAAAATGGTCCATGTACGAACTTCAAAGACATCAAGACGTGAGGGAGAGAATCCAGTCCGAGCTAGGAATAACAACTCACCCTGAAATCTGATGTGCTGGAGACTGACTAGTGTTGAGGGCGAGTCGAAGTCGATGGTGCACTTGCTGCACTCCACAAAACAACAAGAAGAAAATACAAGTAGGGGTCAGTACAAGGAACACGTACTGAGTAGGTATCATCGGTCAACTCAAAATAGAAAGCAATATATACTGAATAATAATATAAAATCAACCACAATACTTAATAGGTGACAAGCAACAAGTACAAGAACCATTGACAACAACACCAAGCACACCTATGAGGACTCAAGCCTCCACACCATACTCATTTGGGAAATAGGTTATTCAAATTTGAGTATATTAACCTAATTCAAGATTCCTTCTCTTTATTATTATCGTGTCGAAACGTGACACTCCAATCCCATATACCGTGTCGGAACGTGACACTCCGATCCCCTAATACATGTCGGAATTTGACACTCCGATCCAATATTACCGTGTCGGAACGTGACACTCCGATCCATTTATTTCATTATTTTGTTTCATCAAGTCTTCTTTATGTCAAGACGTCATCTTAATAGAGAGGATTTAAGATTGAAGGTTCAACAATCTCATCATTCTAACCAACCACAACTGCACAATCAAAACATACAATCACACAATCAAGTACATAGAAGACTTAACAATACCACCCAATACATGTCGATCGCTATTTAGAGTTTATCTATCACATAGAAATAAACCATAACCTACCTCCACCGAAGAATCGTGATCAAGCAAGCTACCTCCCCAATGCCTTTGAACCTTTTCAATCTGAAGTCTAAGTCACTTGCTTTCTTCTTCGTTCTCTCTCTCTCGCTCGTTCTCCCTTTCTGTTCTTTTTATTTTTCTTCTGCAGATTCTTTTTCTTTTACCCTAATTATCATATAATCCATTATGATAAAAGTAACCCACTATTTATTTCCCTATTATCTCCTTTAACCCCCAAGTAAATAAATTATTGAACTTACCCCACTAATTTCATAATTATAATCATGAATAGTCCAAAACACCCATTTAAATTTTAGCGGAAATTCGACCCAGGGTGGATTTACGAAGCTTGTGACGGTCCATCGTATCTATGACGGTCCGTCCTGCAGGTCCGTCACAAAGTTCAGAGAGTTAAATTCAGTAGTGAGGTTACGCAACTTGTGACGGTCCGTCGTATCTACGACGGTCCGTGCTGCAGTTCCGTCGTGAAGTTCAGAGAGTCGATCCCAGTACCCAGATTTTAGAGTTGAAGAGTTTTGGAATGAAGACCCTCGACGGATCGTCGTGCCTATGACGGTTCGTCCTACCTGTCGTCGAGGGTAATGAGGAGAGCAGCAGAAGAAATTACACAAGTATGGGAAGACGGAGTCCATCACGGTCCGTCGTGACCATGACGGTCTGTCGCGTGATCCGTCGACCCAGTCAGTTTTTTATCAAAAATAGTTCTACTGCTCGAACCGACTAAACAGGTTGTTACAATAGATACCAATTTACCCATCGTTCGTCCTCGAACGATCACAAGAAGAAAAGCAAGGGCGAGAAAGAGTACCTGAATCTGTAAAAAGATGTGGATATCTTTCTTGCATATCAGCCTCATTCTCCCAAGTGGACTCTTCAACTGGCCGATTCTTCCACTGAACCTTGATAGATGTAATCTCCTTTGATCTCAACTTGCGGACCTCTCTATCTAAAATAGCAACAGACTCCTCCTCATAAGACAAATTCTCATCAAGAAGAACTGAATCCCAATGAATAATGTAGTTCCCATCCCCATAGTATTTTTTCAGCATAGACACATGAAATACCGGGTGCACTCCTGAGAGTCCTGGAGGCAATGCCAATTCATAAGCCACCTCCGCCATACGCTTCAGAACTTCAAATGGACCAATATACCTCGGACTAAGCTTAACTCGCTTCCCAAACCGCATCACCTCTTTCATTGGTGAAACCTTCAACAAGACTTGTTCACCCTCCATAAAATCCAAGTCCCTAACCTTTCGATCTGCATATTCTTTCTGCTTATTCTGAGCTGCTAGAAGCTTCTCCTGAATGAATTTTACTTTATCTAACGATTCCCTCAAAAGATCGGTACCCCATGGTCTCACCTCAAATGCATCAAACCAACCAATGGGAGACCTACATCTCCTCCCATACAGTGCCTCAAATGGAGCCATATCAATATTTGAGTGATAGCTATTATTTTATGAAAACTCTGCTAAGGGTAAGAAATTATCTCAATGACCACCAAATTATTTCACACATGCACGAAGCATATCCTCCAACACCTGAATCGTTTCCTCAGACTGACCGTCGGTCTGAGGGTGAAATGCAGTACTAAGATCCAACCTAGTACCTAATTCAGCATGCAATTTTCTCCAAAACTTAGAAGTAAATTGCGTACCTCTATCTGATATGATGGAAAGTGGAACTCCATGCAATCAAACAGTTCCTGAGATATAGTGTTTGGCTAACTTCTCTGCATTGTAAGT